TCTACTCCTCAGCTGTTTTTCCAAAGATGACTAAGACAACATCTGCCTTACCAAATATTCAAATTCATGCCTCAGCAAATTTAGACACCTTCAGGGTATTCCTAAAGTTCTATATGCAATGATGAACAGCCTCATGTTTGCCTGTCACTGGTACAATATTCCTCTTGCCTAAAATATATCCTTGCTATTCCTTCAAGAACTAGATTAAAGCTCTTTGTTCCACAAGGGAGAAAAACTAGCTAACAAGGATAACAGGTTTAAGCAGCTCCAAATCAACAGGTCTTTTATTGCATCATTTAAATATCACAAGTACGTCTTAGGAGTCATCTGGCATCTTCTTTCTGTAGCTGGATAACTGGGCAGAAAAAAAAAAAAAAATCGGTCATTCCCATCAATACACTTGCCTAGAAAAGTACTAGTACTAATCTTTTGTTTTGTACTATATTCTAAATGATCTAAAACATACCTCAGGACTATGACTTATTGATTCATGGTAAACTATACATAGTAAAATGCATGCCAATTCCATCTTTTATTCTGTCAAATTTACTGTGTTCCAGAATGCTTAACTCTCCATTTTCTATGACTACAACTCCAGTTTAAGTCTTTTAGTAAATTTAGAGCTTCATTCAACTAAAGCAGTAATAAAACTTAAGACACTACAAGAACTTACCCCTTAGATCTTATTCATCAGCCTGCTGAACAGTTCCTTTTTCAGAGACATAGATACCATCCAAAAATTTCCTGATATCCTTGTTTTTAACTGTTGTGGCTTGCTGAATCAAAGCCGCTACAGGAGAGAAGATACAGCAATTAATACATCAGCCTAACCCATCTTAAAAAGAATATATTTCATTATATGCTCTACTTAAAATTTCAGAATGTTACCTTTTTAACTTCACAATTTAAAAAGCTAACCAAATAAAAATTAGCAAAATACTGTATTTTAAACAACAAGATTTAGATAAAATCTTGTAGGCATAATTAGAAATAGTAAACATACAAACCTGAATTTGAAACAAGTTCAATGTCATTTCCTTCAAGGATTAATTCATCTTTCTGGGCTTGAGATACTGAACAAGCAACACCTGAAAGGGGAGAGGGCATGTGCATAGCATCAACACCAAACTAGATCTGTGTAAAAAATATTTAAATTGCAGAGGCACCAATTTATTCCATGTAAAACTCCATGCACCAAAAGAACCTTGTCTTAAGATTTTGGGGCCAGGCACAGTGGCTCACGCCTGTAATCCCAGCACTTTGGGAGGCCGAAGAGGGCGGATCATGAGGTCAGGAGAGCAAGACCATCCTGGCTAACACAGTGAAACCTCATCTCTACTAAAAATACAAAAAAGTAGCCGGGAGTGGTGGCACGTGCCTATAATCCTAGTTACTTAGGAGGCTGAGGCAAGAGAACCACTTGAAGCTAGGAGGCAGAGGTTGCATGGAGCCGAAATCGTGCCACTACACGCCAGCCTGGGTGGCAGAGCGAGACTCTGTCTCAAAAAACAAACAAAAAAACCATTTTGGTTTTACAGCACCTGCCTTACCTGTGCCAAAATCTTATTTGTGTTCCTACTTGAATGAATCACAGTCCTACGGTGGTTACTCCTTCGGTGATTTAATTAAGGTATTCAATTTGCCAGAATTTAGTTGTACAAAGCCTTGTGCCAAGTCTTACTTTAGACCAGCCTGGACAACATAACAAGACCCTCCCTCTACAAAAAATTTTAAAAATTGGCTGGGGTCAGGCACAATAGCATTCCTTGAAATCATGAAATCAGCCTGGGCAATGTGGCAAAACAGTCTCTACAAAAAATAAAAAATTAGCTGGGTGTGGTGGCAGACACCTGTAGTGCCAGTTAGTGGGGTGGCTGAGGTGGGAGAAACACCTGAGCACGAAAGTGGAGGCTGCAATGAGCTGAGATCACACCACTGTACTCTAGCCTGGGCAACAGAACAAGACGCTGCCTCAGATAAAAAGCACCAATCTTTAAAATTTTTTTTAAACCTACCGTATTTACTATGTATTACGCATGCACTGTTATTTTTCAACTTTAAGTCATTTAATCAAAGATGTTTGCAATTTTAAGCTACGGAGAGATGATACGCCCAAGGTGGACAGTGAGAGCTGAAATTTAAGCTAGGCTATTAACCATTACTCATGTAGTTTTCTCTTTAGATTTTAAAGGTTCTTACCACAAAGAAAAATGGAGTGATGGATGTGTTAATTAGCTTGATTTTGTCATTCCACAGAATATACATGTATTGAAACATCACATTGTGCTCCATAAATACACCTTTTGTAAATTACAAGTCTTTAAAATATTTCATTTGCCAAGTTAAATACAACCACCACTACAAACTACTCCAATGTATCAACTTTCTGAAATTGTAATCAATATGATATAAACCCTTAAGTAGCACCAACAGTTACAAGTGTAATCAAGAGAATTCTAAAACAAATCTGGTTTTATTCAGCACAAACACAAAACACCAGCCAACTAAAGTATGAAAGAGGTTGGGAGTGGAAAAGGAGAAAAAAAAAATATGAAGGAAAAATTTCTTAATTCTATCTGAGGGTATGCACATACCTGGTCTCATCCGAACCCTGCGGATGTATTTTTCACCCAAGAAATTTCGGATTTCAACAAGAGACCCATTCTCCTGGATAACAACGTTGATGGGGAAGTGAGCATACACAGACCTCATCTTGTAACGGAAGCCCTATATTAAATAAGCAAGCTATTACCAATGCTGAAGAATATTTTTAATAGCACCTGAACCAAACTTTATAAACATTGTTCTGTCTATTCAGTGGACTGTAAAGCTCCTTACAGAGGCATTTATTTCACTATCTCTCATGCCCTCAATGAACAATGCTGCCCTCTTTTAATGAGAACCCCAAAGCCCTCATGTCTGACATTAGACTAACATTTACTGAGTAGTACTAAGGTACAGCACATGGCCAAGAATTGAAAACCATTTCAGCATGAACTTTTTATCCTGAGGGGAGAGAAGGTGGGTTGGAAGGAATAGGGACCAACAGACAGAAAACTCAGAAACTACATCATTTTCTATCCCAACGAGGGGTCCTGATGGTGAGATTTGATTGCCACTTAGTACTGCAACTGTAGATTTCCTATTTTAAAAAAAGAAAATTCGGAAGATGTGAAAATTCACCATTAGCCTACTTTTTAAAAACTGCACCCATCTAGCCATGCATGGTGGCTCATGCGGCAATCCCAGTACTATGGTAGGCCAATGTGGGAGGATCCCTTAAGCTCAGCCTGGACAAAACAGGGAGACTCCAGTCTTGATTCAAAAAAAAAACACCCCCCCCCCCCACCCCCAAACAGAAAAAACAAACATGTTGTACCCATCTGGTCTTTGCTCTCAGCTCTATCGCTTGAAGACCCAGAGATGCCTATTTTTGCCAAGTTCGTATTACACCAAATAAAATGCGTAACCCATTCTCTGAAAGAGACATTTATGCTGTATAAAGCAAAGGTTTGAGAAACCTCCCTTTCCAAAACAAAGAAGTCTGATTCATCTGCTTACCAGTGTAACACCCTTGATCATGTTCTGTACATGACTACAAATAGTCCGAACGGTAGCCAGTTCCTTTCTGTTACCCCACCATTTGTCAACCCGAAGCTGTAATAGAAAAACGTATTCTTTCCAGAAATATGCAGGCTTAAAAGATAACAGACCACTTACCCAATTACTTTAAGATTCTAGAATTAACCCTAATCAAAGCACATGGTTTTCAACTGGAAAAATCCAACCACCTATAAAACCTCCCAAAAGTTAAGCTTTGTACAAGTTGCAACAAACTTCCCTTCTGGAAAATTAAATCATCAGGTGTTACAGACCTACTGCCGGTTCCTAGGATTTTTACAAAGCAACCACTAGGAAAATAAACCGAACTTCTAACACTACTAAGACGTGTCACTGACGACCACTACATTTGAGCTTTATATAATTCGCTGTGTTAAGAATCTGGTTTTTCAATTTCACTAACGGAAAACTGGCTGGTATTCTGGACAGCAACATTTAAAGCTAAAACACTGAACCTCAATTCGAAAATTGTTAAAGTAACCAATGTGATGCTGTTATAAACCACCGTCCAACGAGCAAGTGAATTATCAGAAGAAAAACCCTCACCCTTTTTTTTTTCTTTCCAAGAAGACTGAGTTCTACATTGATGTGATTGAAGTCCCTCCGCAGAGTTCCTCTGGGGCCCTTCACGATAACTGTGCGTCCCTTCAGGGTAATGTCGACTAGAAGAGAGAACACACTCGTCAGGCCACACAACGCTTGGAACGTGTAGTAAAGATGTATGAAAAAGATATCAAGTCTCATACCATTTTCTGGAATGTCGACAGTCTGATTGCTGAGAATGGTCTTCATTCTGAAACACAAACACTGGGGGTGAGGCCGACCCAAGGCCCGTTTTTCCACCAAACTACGCGGCACAGAGCTCCACTCCTACCGGAGACTGCCAGGCGGAAGTTCCGGAGACGATATTGGAGGACGGGACACCGACAGCGGGCCCCAGTGCGTCCCAGCCCGGAAGGAGCAGCCCCAAAGCGAGAGTTACGAGGCCTAGCAGGCGAACTCCCGCTCAGCCCAACCCTGGAAGTTCTATCCGGGCGGCGCCATCCCGGCAAGGCTGAGGGGCGGGAATAGGCCAAAAAGCCCAAAACAGGATTCGCATCCGGCGCCGCCAGGCTCATATGGCGCTTGCCGAGCTGGGGGACAAACAGGACAAGGTTCCGAGAGTGGGAGCCGCGCCACAGCCTTTCCCAGAACAGATGGCTTCAGATTCCTAATGCCCCGCGAGCACAGAAACAACCTCACCTTGCAGTAGACGCAGCAAAGAAAGAACGTCTTTCGTCATTACGTACTTGTATCCCGTAAGGGGGGGGGGCCTGTGTATTGCGTCATAAGTGCGCGACGCTACGTAAGGCTAAAGCAGCCAATCATGGAGCAGCTCGGCTGTTTGTCGTAAACGGAGCGACGTGTTACCGACCTGTCCTTTCCCGGGAGTTAGCGAGCTCTCAATCCCTGCACTGCGCTAGTTCTAAAGAGGAAATGTCTCTACGCTGCGGGGATGCAGCCCGCACCCTGGGGCCCCGGGTGAGCGGCGGGGCGAGCGGGTTTGGGCGTGGGGTGGGGGAATCCTATCCCTTCAGAGCGCCCACGCCCAATAATAAAGGTCAGTGCATTTACTTCTAGCCAACGGCAGTTTTAAACATTTTTCGTGTAATCTCATGTAATTCTTCCACCAACCGCAAAATATTGATATAGAGTCTCTGGCATCAGTTTGTTTGAAAGTCTCTCTGGGCCGGCACTAAGGAGTTATTTTCTGTTTAGAGTGGTTTGTACCCTATATTTATGGAGCACTGCAGTGAGCACCCTACATACCTATTCTGTGTTTGACTCTTACTGTGTGTAAGACACCACTCTAGCCGCAGAGAACACAAACCTGTCCTCTAGGCTTTAGCTGCAGACATTGAGAAGTGCAGTAGCAATCGTGCAACACCCTAACAGGCACTCTTGAGTTGTCGAAGGTTCTTTTGCGTTACATGTGCAGACTCAAGGATTTTGTAGTGTTCTGGCTGTCTCATGCATGTTTGTGTTCAGATGTAAAAGCCGAATACCATGATTTCTTATGTTCTTGACTGCCATGTTCAAACACAGAAAAAATGTAACCTAGAAAGTAAAATCGTTCATCCTGGCCAATGCGGTGAAACCCCATCTCTACTGAAAATACAAAAATTAGCTGAGCGTGGTGGCGCACGCCTGTAATCCCAGCTACTCGGGAGGCTGAGGCAGGAGAATCTTGAACCCGGGAGGCGGAGGTTGCAGTGAGCCGAGATCGCGCCACTGCACTCCAGCCTGGGCGACAGAGCGAGACTCCCTCTCAAAAAAAAAAAAAAAGGTAAAAACGTTAGGCTTAGTTTTCCCCCTTCCAGTTATCTGAAACCAACTGGGCATTATTAACCTACTTTTCAACAATTATGCTTATTCAAAACTCGAGAGATTTATTGCACACTTCACTTTTTTTTTTTTTTTTGAGATAGGGTCTCCCTCTGTCGCCCAGGCTGGAGTGCAGTGGCCGGATCTCAGCTCACTGCAAGCTCCCTCTCCTGGGTTCACGCCATTCTCCTGCCTCAGCCTCCCGAGTAACTGGGACTACAGGCGCCCGCCACCTCGCCCAGCTAGTTTTTTGTATTTTTTAGTAGAGATGGGGTTTCACCGTGTTAGCCAGGATGGTCTCGATCTCCTGACCTCGTGATCCGCCCGTCTCGGCCTCCCAAAGTGCTGGGATTACAGGCTTGAGCCACCGCGCCCGGCTGCACACTTCACTTTAAACGCCCCTGATTCAAGTCAGGACCAGAACAATTTTAAACTGTGGCACCTTCTTCAGTTATTGCAGTTCAATCTTGTTGAAAGACAAACATGTAGTTCCTGGTAGGTGGAGTATGTGAAAGTGTGATGTATGTTAGATAGTTCCAGAGATTTCCAAATCAATTCTAAACTCAGTAGTAAACAGTCAACTCTTATTCTCTTTTAGGTTTGGTTCCTTCAGTCATCTTTTGTATTACATTCTAATGCTCTAGAATACTAGAGCTCCTAGTTTGACATAATTTCTGAAACACTTTTTTAGCTTTACCAAAAGGCTTACTTTTAGGTGTTATGATGGGTTAAAACTAAATTATTCTGGACTCCACTAAATAAATGTCATAATGAACTCTTTCTTTAGGTATTTGGGAGATATTTATGCAGCCCAGTCAGACCATTAAGTTCCTTGCCAGATGAAAAAAAGGAACTCTTACAGAATGGACCAGACCTTCAAGATTTTGTATCTGGTGATCTTGCAGACAGGAGCACCTGGGTTGAATATAAAGGAAACCTAAAACGCCAGAAAGGAGAAAGGTAATTTAAAATTTGAGATAATTTTAACGTCCCATTCCTTTGTTGTGCATTATTTTCAGATATAACCAAGCCCTAGAATCTGTTTTTTATATCAGACTTGTTAAATTTAGCTAAAAATTATTAGAAAGATGTGATAACACAACTAGATAGAACGGGTAAGCAAATGTAATTGTTGGAATCTTTCTCTTTTCTCTGTGCCCTTACTATGTTACACTGCCATCTCCCCATTTTCTACCCAGCATCCAACTTCTTCAGAGTAAGGATTATTGCCTTACTACTAGTCTGTTAGATCTGGGTTACTAGGTGTTGATGATCTAACGTGTGCTTCTCCTAGTCAATTTACATATGACCTATGGATACCTTACCTTAATTTAAAAGAGTTATGGAATTTTATGTAGAAGGTAGATTGTGTTGAGAGAGAACTTAATCCAGCTCCTTCTATATCACAAGTGGATGGAAGTCATGGAGAACCAAGGATTCACAATCTCCACTCCAAATTTTAGATCTTTTTTACGTTGAGTAACCACTATAAAATCTAGAGTATAGAGCAGACAGTGCACTGTTGTGATCTTACCTCACTCTAAACAAATAGAGTACTTTTTGGCAGTATCATTCATGAAGGATGAGATATTCAAAAACTCATTCTCTTATTAGAGTAGTGTAACTCTGGCTTTGCAAAAAAGGTAGACATGAGCATAGTGCCCTGTTACACTCCATTATTGGTGTTTTCTTTTTTTTTATTTTTTTTGAGATGGAGTTCGCTCTTGTTGCCCAGGCTGGAGTGCAAATGGCACGATGTTGGCTCACAGCAACCTCCGCATCCAGGGTTCAAGCCATTCTCCTGCCTCAGCCTCCAGAGTAGCTGGGATTACAGGCATGCGCCAGCACGCCCAGCTAATTTTGTATTTTTAGTAGCGACGGAGTTTCTCCATATTGTTCAGGCTGGTCTCGAACTCCGGACCTCAGGTGATCCGCCTGCCTCGGCCTCCCAAAGTGCTGGGATTACAGGCGTGAGCCATGGTGCCTGGCCCCATTATTGGTGTTTTCTTTTTTTTTTTTTTTTTTTTGAGACGGAGTCTCGCTGTGTCTCCCAGGCTGGAGTGCAGTGGCATGATCTCAGCTCACTGCAAGCTCCGCTTCCCGGGTTCACGCCATTCTCCCGCCTCAGCCTCCCAAGTAGCTGGAACTACAGGCGCCCGCCACCACGCCCGGCTAGTTTTTTGTATTTTTAGTAGAGATGGGGTTTCACCATGTTAGCCAGGATGGTCTCAATCTCCTGACCTCGTGATCCACCTGCCTCAGCCTCCCAAAGTGCTGGGATTACAGGCTTGAGCCACCAGGCCTGGCCTATTGGTGTTTTCTAAAGTGGTTTGAGCAAGGCTGAATTTGATTCTGTGTTCTTACTCTTATGACAGAAATTATAAGAGTTATTCTAAGATTATAGAAAAAGTATTAACTAGGAATTGTAATAGAAGAAATTAACTTCAAAGCTGTGTAATTATTTGGCAGCATATTTGTTAATCGTTATGTTTGGCTTTCCTTAGGTTAAGACTACCTCCATGGCTAAAGACAGAGATTCCCATGGGGAAAAATTACAATAAACTGAAAAACACTTTGCGGAATTTAAACCTCCATACAGTAAGTTGTCAAAGTGTAAACTATCCCTCTTAACCAAAAGCCATGTTTCTACATTTATATAACTTAAAAATTATTAATAAATATATAAATAATAGCAAAGAAAGTAAATATGTTAAGTGATACATTACTACCACGAATGGAAATATATTTAGAATCATTTTTCCTGCAAACAAAAATATTTTTTGCCCTACAAGTTTGGAAACAAAGCTTTGTTTGTTTTATATTGCAAATTAGATACATGTTTCATTGGAAAGAATATAAAATTAAATGTGAAGCTATGTCACATACACAATGTCATATATAAAGCACGCTCTTTTACCTTTAACTTTTCAGTACACTTTCAGACTTTTTTATTTGCACATATGAAGTATATACATTCATAAAGTTTTTAATTTAAAAATGAGAGTTTAGCCGGGTGTGGTGGCTCACACCAATAATTCCAGCACTCAGAAGGCCGAGGCGGGAGGATCACCTGAGGTCAGGAGTTCAAGACCAGCCTGGCCAACATGGCGAAACCCTGTCTCTACTAAAATTAAAAAAAATAAAAAATTTGCTGGACTTGGTGGCATGAGCCTGTAGTCCCAGCTACTCGGAAGGCTGAGGCAGGAGAATCACTTGAGCCCGGGAGGTGGAGATTGCAGTGAGCCAAAATGGCACCACTGCACTCCAGCCTGGACGACAGAGTGAGACTCCATCTTTAAAAAAATAAGAATTCAACTCTGTCCATTCTTATATAATTGTGTAAGGGAGTACACCTCTATAGGACATGCTCACCACACTCTAATTTTAATATAGAGTTTGGCAGTTTAACAGCCTCTTTTTTTTTTTTTTTAAGACAGGGCATTGCTCTGTTGTCCAGGCTAGAGCACTGTGGCACAATTGCCTTGACCTCCCAGGCTCAAGTGATCCTCCCTCCTTGGCCTTCTGAGTAGCTGGGAGTATAGATGCACATTACCATGCCTAGCTAACTTTTCGATTTTTTGTAGAGGCGGGGTTTCACTATGTTGCCCAGACTGGTATCAGATTCCTGGGCTCAAGCAATCCTCCCGCCTCAGCCTCCCAAAGTGCTGGAATTACAGGCGTGAGCCAGCACACTTGGTCTTAACAGCATTTTTGAATAGTGGATGTCTTCAAAAATATGTTGTAAACAATGAGCAGTTTAAAATGTCTAATCACAGTCACCAATTGTTTAGTTGGTGGATATTGTCAACCTCATGGTGTTCCATTTCCTTTTGTACACAGGTATGTGAGGAAGCTCGATGTCCCAATATTGGAGAGTGTTGGGGAGGTGGAGAATATGCCACCGCTACGGCCACGATCATGGTAGGGCCAGCCTCAGCCTCTACAACTTTAGTCTAGAAACTGAAAGGGAATATGTTCTGTCTTCTTCTGTGCGTTATGAATCTCTGGTCAGATTTTTCATTACATTTGCATTTATGAAAAATATTAAGAAAAAACCTGATGGAATAATCCAACCTGTTTTGATCTCAATCTTCTCTGCATAAATCTGTTATTGGTTCTTTCATTTATGTGATAGTTAATCACGCGCTGCCTTGAGATACCTCTCCTATCAATTTTTGGAAACATTATTCATGATTGCTTAACTTTTTACGTGTTTTCTGTTTAATATATTCTACAAAAAGGAGCTGTGCTTTCTGTTTTCATATTCATGGAGACCTGCACATTGATCTGTTACATATTTTATGTCTTTTAAAATCATCTTTTTTGATTATTGAGTAGATAAAATGTATCTTCATAGGCCAAGTGCAGTGGCTGATGCCTGTAATCCCAGCATTTTGGGAGGCTGAGTCAGGCAGATCATTTGAACCCAGGAGTTCGAGACCAGCTGGGCAAATAGTAAAACCCTGTCCATACAAAAAAAGGTTTAAAAAAAAAACTAGCTGGGCATGTTTTTTTTTTGCCTGTATACCCAACTACTGGGGAGGCTGAGGTGGGAGGATCACTTGGGTCCAAGAAGTCGAGGCTGCAGTAAGACATGATCATGCCATTGCATCGCAGCCTAGACTACAGAGCAAGACCCTGTTTCAAAAAAAAAGTATCTTATAAACTGTGTAAGTTATAAAGAATAACAGAACAGACACCTTCATACCTCCAGTTTGAGATTAAAACATTAGAGATTAAAACATTAGCATTGTCTTTGAATCCCCCTCTGTAGCCCCTAAACTGTATTTTAGAATCCCATTTTTCAGTTGTGTTTCTATTTTGTTTTAAGAAATGGGGGTCTCACTCTTGTCACCCAGGCTGGAGTGCAGTGGCACAGTCATAGCTCACTGCAGCCTCAAACTCTAGGCTCAGGTGATCCTCCCATCTCAGCCTCCCTGAATACCTGAGGCTACAGGTACATGCCACTACACCCAGCTAATTTTTAGAGACAGGGTCTCACTGTGTTGCCCATGCTGGTCTCAAACTCTCAACAATCCTCCCACCTCAGCCTCTAGAGTAGCTGGGATTATAGGAGCAAGCCACTGCACCCTGCTTTGTTTTTTAAATGTAAATTTTGTGTCCTTTCCTGATCCCATCCCCTTTTCTCTTCCCTGAACACTATTCTTATTGCTGAGTTTATTATTTCCCTTTCTTTTTAGTTGTATCACATATATTTGTGTTCCTTGACTATCATTTAGTTTCGAATGTTTCAAATTTCTTATAAACAGAACCAAACTGTATGCATTCTTTGCAACTTGCTTTATTCTCTCAACATTATGTCCTTAAGGGTCATCTGTCTATTTGATTTAAATTGTAACATTTCTATTTTAGTTGATGGGTGACACATGTACAAGAGGTTGCAGATTTTGTTCTGTTAAGACTGCAAGAAATCCTCCTCCACTGGATGCCAGTGAGCCCTACAATACTGCAAAGGCAATTGCAGAATGGGGTCTGGATTATGTTGTCCTGACATCTGTGGATCGAGACGGTTAGTGTGTCATCGTGGCCTCTACCAGAAATTGGCTCTAAATGGTGACATCATCTTGAGCAGTGGATTCTTTTATTTCTAGATATGCCTGATGGGGGAGCTGAACACATTGCAAAGACTGTATCATATTTAAAGGAAAGGTACTTATTTTTGCATTTGTTTGTGTAATTTAAGGACCGTTTTGGACCCACATGAGTTTAGTTTAAGTTCTTTACCTTGAAGCAGGGATTATTCACTTTTTGGGGAGTTTCATAGTTTTCTGATAATTCACTGGAAATTATGTACACATTTCTTTGGAAAAAGCATATTTGTATGTACAGATACATATTTGCAGAGAATTTTAGGGGGTCAGTAACATGAACTTATCTGTAGACCTTTAGCCCATAGAATCCCTCCCTCATATTAGAGCATTAGTCTAAACTTTGAATAATTTTCTTTAAAAAGTATAAACCTGGTCTTCTTAGTAATGATTTTTGTTTTGTTTTGTTTTGAGACGGAGTCTCACTCTTTTGCCCAGGCTGGAGTGCAGTGGCGCCATCTCACTGCAACCTCCACCTCCTAGTTCAAGCATTTCTCCTGCCTCAGCCTCCCGAGTAGCTGGGATTACAGGCCCATGCCACCACGCTCAGCTAATTTTTGTATTTTTAGTAAGAGACAGGATTTCACCATGTTGGCCAGAATGGTCTCGATCTCCTGACCTCAATTGATCCACCCACCTGAGCCTACCAAAGTGCAGGATTACAGGCCTGGGCCACCGCACCCAGCCTGGTTTTTTTTGTTTTGTTTTGTTTAAGAGACAGTCTTGCTTTGTCATCTAGGCTGGAGTGCAATGGCCTGGTCATAGCTCACTGCAGCCTCAAACTTCTGGGCTCAAGCAGTCCTTCTGCCTCAGCCTCCCAAGTAGCTGGGACTGCAGGTACACACTACCACGCTCGGCTAATTTTTTTTTCATTTTTTTTTTAGAGACAGAATCTTGCCGCATTCCCCAGGCTCATCTCAAACTCCTGGCCTCAAGCAGTACTCCTGCCTCGCCCTCCCAAAGTGCTGGGATGATTCTAATTTTCTACAACTCAGTACTAGTTTGGCACCTAAGCACACTTAGTAAATTTTTTAAATGATTCCCTAGTATTTTCTGTTTTCTATTTACTATAGTTCATTTTTGAAAAATCTGTTTGCAGCCCACTGTTTATTTTACAAGCTTCAATGGGTCTTAGCTTGCAGTTTAAAAAAGCAGTAGAACCAAGCACAGTGGTTCACGCCTATAGTTCTAGCACTTTGGGAGGCCAAAGCAGGAAGATTGCTTGAGGCCAGATGTTCAAGACCAGCCTGGGCAACACAGGGAAATGCTGTCTCTACAAAAAATAAATTAAAAAAAAAAAAATAGCTGGATGTGGTAGCATGCACCTGTAGTCCTACCTGCTTGGGAGGCTGAGGCAGAAGGATTGCGTGAGCCCAGGAGTTCAAAGTTACAGTGAGCTATGATGCCCTGGGCAACAGAGCAAGACCCGGTTTTTATTTTAAAGAAAAACAAACCCAGAATTATAGGATATGTTCTTTGAACATCTCATATGTTCATGATAAGGGTGTACATGTAGTCTTTTCTACATCTGTTCTTTCAGGGAACAACTCCAGACACTTTGCCAGTGGGTTTATGAAAAAATTTGTCAGCTGTTTCAGTCATTTTTGTTGGTGTCAAAGGGAACAGCTCTGTGACCCAGTTCACATTATATTGCTTGGATGAATAGATATAGCCACAACATAAATAGGAAGATTAATGTTTAGCTCGTACTTTGTTTAACAAAGCTCATGACTCAGCAACCCAGAAAATAGTTTTTAAAACCCATAGTACTTGTGAAATATTTGCCTAGAGGAAAGGAGGAGAGCATGATTTGATGACTTTTTAAAGAAATCAAAATTAAAGCAATCAAATAATATTCACATTTATATAAGAAATATCTCAATTTACTTTCCAAAGAGTAAAGTTTTATATTTAATGTTTTAATATTTCATATTTTAGTTTCTTACAATTATTTACTTTTTCTAAAACCTACTCAAATTAGGTTTAAAAGTCTATTATATATAATTTGAAATTTTATTCAGTTTGCCTACAGGTGTGTTTTAACCACTGCGTACATAGTATTTAATGTTCCGCTTTTTTTTTCTTTTCTTATAATGGTTCATGTATGAACATCTGTATGTTCATACTTTGCTTGGCAAAGTTCTAAAGGTTACTGTGTTGAAACATACTGAATGAGTACCGATAATTTCTGTTTTGAGCAACAGGTATGTCAGTTCTTTCTCTCTGTTTGATAATTCTCTTTTTTCCCCCTAGGAATCCAAAAATCCTTGTGGAATGTCTTACTCCTGATTTTCGAGGTGATCTCAAAGCAATAGAAAAAGTTGCTCTGTCAGGATTAGACGTGTATGCACATAATGTAGAAACAGTCCCGGAATTACAGAGGTGAATACGTGTACAAAGTAATGTTGGAAAGTTAGGTGGGTCAAAATATGCCATATATACTTACCTTTTCCAGGGGTGAACTTTGCCATCGACCTTTACAAAGGAAACTCTATTCTTTTTTGTTTTTTAGGAAAACTCAGTCTATGTCTATTACATAAAAATCAGAAAATATCACCAACAAAAACAGCATAAATATCCATAATAGTATTTCCACCCAGCAATATCAGTTAGTGTTTATATTATAAACACTATGTTTATACTGCATAATTATATTTTTATATTTATAATATACTTAATTTTTATATTATAAACATTAAGGTGTTAATAATTCATATTACTAACACTTATTGTGTGTGTTTTAATACACACAAATAATGAACATTTTTTTTCTTTTTTTTTAAAATAATATCAGACTGCAAATTTCAATGAGTTGTTTGCTTCCCCCTCCCCACAAAAAAGTTTTCAAAGGAGGGAAAAATTACACTAGAGCAATTGCTTTGGTTGTAATTCTAAAGAAAAGGCTTCAAAAATATATTCGGCTGGGCGTGGTGGCACATGCCTGTAATCCCAGCTACTCGGGAGGCTGAGGCAGGAGAAGAATTGCTTGAACTCGGGAGGTGGAGGTTGCAGTGAGCCAAGATTGCGCCATTGCACTCCAGCCTGGGCAACAAGAGCAAAACTCCATCTAGAAAGAGAGAGAAAGAAAAAAAAAAAAAAATATATATATATATATATTTTTTTTTTTACACACATACGCAGCACTAATATATGTAATGAATGATGCAGAAGAAAAACTCGTGGCTCACGCCTGTAATCCTAGCACTTTGGGAGGCCGAGGTGGGCGAATTACCTGAGGTCGGGAGTTCAAGACCAGCCTGGCCAACATGATGAAACCCCGTCTCTACTAATATACAAAAAATTAGCCAGGTGCAGTGAAGCGCATCTGTAATTCCAGCTACTCTGGAGGCTGAGGCAGGAGAATTGCTTGAACCCGGGAGGTGCAGGTTGCGGTAAACCAAGATAGTGATAATGCCACTGCACTCCAGCCTGGGCAACAGAGCGAGACTTCAGAAAAAAAAAAAAAAAAGAAAAACTCATATCATTCAGATGTACTTTTTTAAAAAAGTAGACACTATGCTTTCTTACTCCTAATAATTTCAGTAATTAAGAGTAATTATTGGCAAGTAACACTGATGTAAAAAGTAAGGATTATTATCCACATCCATTCACATTTTAGAAAAATGAACATTTTAAGCTTCAGGCAAGATTAATATCATTTTTTCTTTAATTTAGCATTTAGCAGTGATTTGATTAGCTTCTACATATGATCTGTGTCATAGAACCTGAAATAAGTTAAAGTAAACAATAACCATCATTTTCACTAAATCATAAACAGTAGAGACCATAACTTAATTTCAGTGGAGAAATTCTGTTAAAAAGTAATTTCTGTATTGTCAGTTTCAGTTATTTTTAAATTCATAAATTTGTTTCTTTCCTGTTAACTAGTGGCTGATGAAAAACAATTACAGAAAATAAAGCTGCATTGGAATTGAAATGAAATCCGATTTAACATCAGAAGCTTTCTGGCCTTTTGGCTTAAATGATAAGTCATTTAAGCCACGGTACACAGCCTGTTGCAACCTTGTCGTGATACCACCACCAGTGGGTGCCAGTTTCCCTGGTTTCACTTAAGAAACATGATCCTTTCCAGTGAAAATTCCAGAATCATGCATTTCTTTACCTAAGAGGTGGCAGTGTTGTGTACTCACCAGCAGAGGGCAGCTTAGTCTTCAGAAAAGAAATGAACATGAAAGTTTCAACCCTCTGACGTGGGTTCAGCTTATTTTTTTCTTTGTTCAGCATGGAGACTCTCTTACTTCTGCTTTTTTTTCCTTTCTCTCCTAATTTTTCGCTTCAGAATTCTGGTTTCTCAATGCATAAACTGAAGTAATTTCTTCCATTGTACTTTTCTCTGCCCCAGGCTTGAGGCAGAGCTAGGGAGCCCAGTGAGGCCTTTTCTTTCCTAAATTAACAGTTAGGCATTTGTGCATAAATGCTACCTTTCAACTATGTGGTTTAAGATAATGTGCAGAATGTACTTCTCTGGTCTTTCAGGTTGCTTGCGTAACTATGTACTTGGTTGAACTTGTTGTAATTCTTGCTGACAACAGTCCTGCTGTTTTCCAGTAAGGTTCGTGATCCTCGGGCCAATTTTGATCAGTCCCTACGTGTACTGAAACATGCCAAGAAGGTTCAGCCTGATGTTATTTCTAAAACATCTATAATGTTGGGTTTAGGCGAGAATGATGAGCAAGTATATGCAACAATGAAAGGTAAAGAAATTGAAAAATGAAAAAATCTTTCCCATCTAATTTGAGTAACAGCAGGAACCCACTCACTTTGAAGGCCCTTCTAAGAACAAAGTATATGGTTATAAATGGCAGCATAAAAAGAAAACCAACTTGCACATGCACCCCCAAATCTAAAATACAAGTTAAGAAAATAAAGCAAAGGAAATAAATTTTCTGGTGATTTCATGGAGTGACATGCATGAAGCTCAGGATACGAAATTTATATCCCATTTTATTCCCCATCCTTGCATCCACTGATAGCATGATTTCATTCACTTTTCTCATTCTATCATTGGACACTTTTGGAGAGCCAGCCAGGTACCAGGCACTGACAGTTCATAGATCAATGAGACTAATCCAAGCCTCTGAGAAAGAGCTTACTTGTAGCATTGTCACATAACATGGTGTGCTTCGGACTTTGCTGAACCATAGTCCCATAAGTCCATGTACTTTGTGATTCTTGGACTTTTTAAACTTTGAGAATAAAAGTTTTAATTTTAGCAGAAGATCCTTAGATTGCTTGTAGTTATTTAGTGGTTCAAAGAGTAGTAAGTTCATATAGTAATTAAGAGCTGCTGTTTACCAAATTGCACGCAGTTTATTAGAAAGGTTCTGATACGTCACAGTTTAAATCACAGCCCCCATAGCATATCTTGTGCATTGAGTAAAAACCTAATGCAACACATTTGCTCTATAATATAGGTGCATTCAGATTTTTGCATATACCATTTCCCATACCTTTTCTGCCAAACAGACTCCTACTCTAAAACACCCTCCACGACTATTTTAACATTTATTCTGTACTATTAGAAGTATTTATCCTTGTCTCTATAAGCCCTACATGACTGTCTTAATTATTACTGTTTTCAGTCCTTACTACAGTCCCTGGCACATAATACTTTTGAATGAATAGGTGTTATCTTATTCCCCAACATGAGGATTATGGACTGTCACAAAGTTCACACCATTTTTAAATATTCCTCAGGAAAATTATGGTTAGGTCTACAATTAAAGTATTTGCTAATGTAATTTGTGCTTTTCTTCCTACAGCACTTCGTGAGGCAGATGTAGACTGCTTGACTTTAGGACAATATATGCAGCCAACAAGGCGTCATCTTAAGGTACACGTATCTTGATTTGCTTTTTTTTTTTTTTTTTTTTTTTGAGACAGAGTCTCGCTCTGTCGCCCAGGCTGGAGTGCAGTGGCCAGATCTCAGCTCACTGCAAGCTCCGCCTCCCGGGTTCATGCCATTCTCCTGCCTCAGCCTCCCGAGTAGCTGGGACTACAGGCGCCCGCCACCTCGCCCGGCTAGTTTTTTGTATTTTTTTAGTAGAGACGGGGTTTCACCGTGTTAGCCAGGATGGTCTCGATCTCCTGACCTCGTGATCCACCCGTCTCGGCCTCCCAAAGTGCTGGGATTACAGGCTTGAGCCACCGCGCCCGGCCTGCTTTTTTTTTTAAGACGGAGTTTTGCTCTTGTCGCCCAAGCTGGAGTGTAGTGGCACGATCTCGGCTCACTGTAATCTCTGCCAACTGGGTTCAGGTGATTCTCCTGCCTCACCCTCCTGAGTAGCTGGGACTACAGACGGGTGCCACTACATCTGGCTAAATTATATCTATATATATAGAGACAGATATAGATATTTTTGTTGTTGTTGTTTGACACAGAGTCTCGCTCTGTCACCCAGACTAGAGTGCAGTGGTACAATCTCAGCTCACTGCAACCTCCACCTCCCAGGTTCAAACGATTTTCATGACTCAGCCTCCTGAGTAGCTGGGATTACAGGCACGAACTACCACACCCGACTAATTTTTTTATATTTTTAGAGACAGAATTTTGGCATGTTGCCCAGGCTGGTCTTGAACTCCTGAGCTCGGGCAATCCACCCACCTTGGCCTCCCAAAGTACTAGGATTACAGGTGTGAGCCACCACACCCGGTCAATTTTTGAATATTTTTAATGGAGACGGGGTTTCACCATTTTGGCCACGCTAGTCTTGAACTCCTGACCTTAGGTAATCCGCCCGCCTCAGCCTTCCAAAGTGCTGGGATTACAGGTGTGAGCCACTGTGCCCAGCCCATGTATAGCTTTTGACTCCCAAAAAATCATAACTATTAATAGCCTTCTGTTGACCGGAAGCCTTACCAATAACAACAGTCAATTAACACACATTTTGTATGTTACGTAAGTGGGCCTGTGCAGTTACCATGTTGTTCGAGGGTCAGCTGTATACTGGTAAGTCCCAGTTTTATTATCTACATGAATCAGCTACATTGGTACATATTTGCTGCCTCCCCCATTTTCTCTACAAATTTCACAACTCAAGTGAACCTAGAGAAAAAGAATTTAAAAGTTGGGAAATGGCACTCATTTACACTTGGTTATTGTGTAATTTGTTTTTTGTTATGTTAGAGCCAGAGGCGAAGTAAGAATGGGAAACCATTGTTTCTATTTCTATCATGGACGTTTATCCATTCATTCAAGAAGCTTGTGTTGAGCAGTGACCATGTGCCAGTCACAGTGCTAAGCAGAAGATACAAATTGAGTAAGACAGTCTTGTCCTCAAGAATCAGATAGGCATGAGTAATTCTTGAATTTACCTGTTAATGAAGGAAAAATACAGATAAATAATCTCTATAGATAATCTCTTCTTTCTCTGTCCTTTGGAATAGCCAATGTAGCACAAAATTGATATGCTTCCCTGCCTCTATAATTCCCTGTATTTACATCCCAGTAGAGTGGCCAACAAGTAACCAGCAAACAGGGAGGAGGGAGAGGACAAAAGCCTGGGGGTGGAGGCAAGATAAATTATGCAGTGAAGAGTGTTCTGCATAAATGGGTATAGACTTTCTGCAGAATCAAAGAGGAATTCTAAAATCTGATCAGAAGTAATTATTTAAATCTAGGTTGAAGAATATATCACTCCTGAAAAATTCAAATACTGGGAGAAAGTAGGAAATGAACTTGGATTTCATTATACTGCAAGTGGCCCTTTGGTGCGTTCTTCATATAAAGCAGGTAAGGTAGATTGCGGGGCATGGTTTTATTTAGGCCATTAACTTTCCACATTAAGTTCTACCACCAATCACTAAAACTCTTGACAAATTGTAATACCTTTGGTGGTCTTGGTAGAGGGCGTAGTTTTTTTTTTCTGGAACATGCTTAGGAGCTTTGCTCCATGGGGATCATGTTAAGGAAAAGTTTCTCTTAATCCTTTGTTTCTTAAACAAATTCAGCCCCCTGCTTTGTAACTCAGCTACTATAGTAAAAGCAGAAACAATTAGTTTATTGATTTATTCTATGTGTAGATTTCAGTAGTAGATTATTCAGAAATGACAGAGCATGTCAAGCATCTGATAGGGTTTTCTGAGAAATACATATTTATTTGGAAATGATGCCAGCTGCATCTCCAGACTACCAATTTCAATCAATTTAAGCACTGAAAAGTATCTGTTCGATAGCATTGCTTGCGTCATTACATTTCTTTGTATTTTTCCCCCAGAGGCAACAGAAAAATATCCATAAGATTATTTTTCTCCATAGAAACGTTTAGTGGTTTTACTAGCTACAATGCAGTTTTTTTTTTACCTTTGGAATTTCAGCTCTTATTTTAATCAATAGCTTGAATTGATTTATGAAAACAAAATGAGTTTCCAAGGGATAAAAAGTCATGTGATAATGATTGTCAGAGGATCCATAGAACATATCTGAAGACTGAATTTAATCTAGAAAGTGTTGATGATGTCCCTGTCAGTTGGACTTAACAATTACAATTATTAAGAATAAATAGGCTGGCCGGGTGCGGTGGCTCACGCCTGTAATCCCAGCACTTTGGGAGGCTGAGGCAGGGGGATCACAAGGTCAGGAGATCGAGACCATCCTGGCTAACACAGTGAAAACCCCGTCTCCACTAAAAATACAAAAAATTAGCTGGGCATGGTGGCAGACGCCTGTAGTCCCAGCTACTCAGGAGGCTGAGGCAGGAGAATGGCGTGAACCCAGGAGGCAGAGCTTGCAGTGAGCCGAGATTGTGCCACTGCACTCCAGCCTGGGTGACAGAGCAAGATTCCATCTCAAAACAAAAAGAATAAAGAGGCCAGGCAAGGTGGCTCATGCCTCTAATCCCAGCACTTTGGAAGGCAGGAGGATTACTTGAGCCCAGGAGTTCAAGGATGCAGTGAGCTATGATCATGTCACTACAACTCCAGCCTGGGCGACACAGCAAGATACTGTGTCTCAAAATAAAAATAAAATAAAAAAAAGAAACAGCTAGGCCAGGTGAGGTGGCGTGTGCCTATAGTCTCACCTTCTTGGGAGACTGAGGCAGGAGGATCGCATGGGCCCAGGAGTTCAAATAGAGCTTGAGCAACATTGTGAGACCTCATCTCTTTATTTTTTATTATTATTTTTGTTTTGAGGTGGAGTCTCTCTCTCCGTCGCCCAGGCTGGAGTGCAGTGGTGCAGTCTTGGCTCACTACAACCTCTGCCTCTTGGGTTCACGCCATTCTCGTGCCTCAGCCTCCCGAGTAGCTGGGACTACAGGCACATGCCACCACACCCAGCTAATTTTTTGTATTTTTAGTAGAGACGGGGTTTCACTGTGTTAGCCAGGATGGCCTCAATCTCCTGACCTTGTGATCCGCCCGCCTCAGCCTCCGAAAGTGCTGGGATTACAAGCGTGAGCCATCACCCCTGTCCGACCTTGTCTCTTTAAAAATAAACTAGGTATTGGCCGGACGTGGTGGCTCATGCCTGAAATCCCAGCACCTTGGGAGGCCGCGGCGGGCAGATCACAAGGTCAGGAGTTCGATACCATCCTGGCCAAAATAGTGAAACCCCGTCTGTCCTAAAAATACAAAAATTTAGGCTGGGTGCGGTGGCTTATGTCTGTAATCCCAACACTTTGGGAGGTGGGTGGATCATGAGGTCAAGAGATCGAGATCATCCTGGCCAGCATAGTGAAACCCCATCTCTACTAAAAATACAAAAATTAGCTGGGCATGGTGGCGTGCACCTGTAGTCCAGCTACTCGGGAGGCTGAGGCAAGAGAATAGCTTGAACCCGGGAGGCGGAGGTTGCAGTGAGCCAAGATCCTGACACTCCACTCCAGCCTAGCAACACAGCAAGACTCCGTCTCCAAAAGAAAAAAAAATTACAAAAATTAGCCGGGCATGGTGGCATGTGCCTGTAGTCCTAGCTACTTGGGAGGCTGAGGCAGGAAAATTGCTTGAACCCGGGAGGCAGAGGTTGTGGTGAGCCAAGATCACGCCACTGCACTCCAGCCTGGGCAACAGAGCAAGACTCTGTCTCAAAAATAAATAAATAAATAAGCTAGGTTTGGTTTGTTTTTTTTTGGATCTAAAGTGATGTTTTAAATGATTGCTTTATATATTGGAGTCTAAATCTTAAATATGTTTAAATTAAACAAATTCTATTTGAAAAAATTAATGCTCCAGTATTAGTAATATAAATTAGTAATATGTCTTTATAGTATGTTCTTATAAAGACATTTAAGGCCGGGTGCAGTGGCTCACGCCTGTAATCCTAGCACTTTGGGAGGCCGACGTGGGTGGATCACTTGAGCCCAGGAGTTCAAGACCAGCCTGGGCAACATGGCAAAACCCCATCTTTACAAAAATACAGAAATTAGCTGGGTGGCTGATTTGCTGGATGGTGGTGGGCACCTTTAGTTCTAGCTACCCAGGAGGCTGAGGTGGGAGAATCACCTGAGCCCAGGAGGTTGAGGCTGCAGTGAGCTGTGATCGTGCCACTACACTCCAGCCTGGGTGACAGAGTGAGATCCTGTCTCAAAAATAAATAAATAAATAAAAATAGTAATTTAAAACATTTTAATGAACTAATAGCTCATCATAGTTTGGAAACCCAAGAATTTGATTCAGCGCTGACTGACAGGATGTGGGGATTTTGAAAACCAGTAATCGAAGTGATTTAATCTTCAAGCAGCACTACTGGCAAGCTAAAAATACATATGAAGGATAGAACCACTATCAGCTTCTAGAATGGTTACAGTAATATCCTTTGAAAGGAGTTTTTCTTTTGTTAAAGAAAAATTTCTAACATATAAAAGGAAGTAAATTATGAACTTTTTGATGCTTTCTAAATTACCAGGAAAAGATCAAATTCTGGTACGTGATGAGCATTAGACTAAAATGATGGATTAGGGTCTGGTAAAGTCGGTGCTACTCCCACGACATTCGGAGGAGGTATGGAGCAGCATGGATTACTTGGCTGGGTTATGAGCCTTGAGATTTGCAGAGATTATATGTAGATACACTCATCACAGTTCTACTCATATGTAAGATGGCAAAGAGAAGTTAATCAGACTCCTCGTAAAATCAGGCCTCCAGTGCTGCGCTCTACCAGTAAGCATTGAGTCATGCTGTAAGAGCAATAGACTAAATGGAATGCTAATGGCCTAAAAAGAGAATGTGCCCTCTAAGCTGCTAACTTACTGCATAGGCACAACTCAGGCGGTGGGGAGAAAGCCCATTACAAATGAAGAGCTCTTGCTTCCCTAGAGGGGAATAAGCTAAAGAGATTCCATCAGATGCGTCTGCTCAACTGCAACGAGGTCTGTTTTATAAACATCAGATCCAGCCTAATAATGTAGCAAAATTGCTCTTGGAAATGAATTTTGCCAAGAGCAGTACTTTGACAGTGATGAGGGAAAGATAGTGCACATAAAGTAGAATAAATGTGCAGACCCATGTATACAGTAGGGTCACCCTTTGTAATATTGAGTTACTAGAAAGAATAGTAGTAGGAGACTCGAGTCATTATTGCCGGGGAGAAAGGCCAAAGATATAGGGGATATTTAGGTTAGAAAAATATTGCCATTGAGGTTTGAGAAGAGGGAAGTGCCAATAAATACAAACGTCTTCTTTAAAGGGGAAACACCAAAAATATAATTCTGAAATAGTTGTCTCACTATTATTTACTTTAAATTGATATTAATGTGTTTTCCTTTTTCCTAAATAGGTGAATTTTTCCTGAAAAATCTAGTGGCTAAAAGAAAAACAAAAGCCCTCTAAAACTTCAAGACCTTCAAGATCACAGAAATTTTTAAAATTTGATTCCAGTTAATAACAGAGGTGGTGCCAGAATGCCTGGACTACAGTGGATGTACCCCACCTCTTTGCTTAAAACAAAAAAATGTCAATAGCCAGGCATAGTGGCTCACGCCTGTAATCCCAGCACTTTAGGAGGCCGAGGCGGGTGGATCACCTGAGGTCAGGAGTTCGAGACCAGCCTGGCCTGCATGGTGAAACCCTATCTCTACTAAAAATACAAAAATTAGCCGGGCGTGGTGGCAGGTGCCTGTAATCCCAGCTACTCGGTAGACTGAGGCAGAAGAATCACTTGAACCTGGGAGGGGGAGGGAGGTTGCAGTGAGCTGAGATCGCACCATTGCCTTCCAGCCTGGGTGACGAGCAAAACTCCATCTCAAATAAATAAATAAAAAAGAAAAAAGTCAATAAACTACAGATTTAATTACAGTAATTCATTTGGCTTTTTGTATATCTTCTTTGTCCCAATAAACAGTTGCTTGCTGTGATGTAATCTTAAAATATCTTTGTAAGAATTTTCTGTTAAATAATTTTAAAATGCATTAAAAACTTCTAGAGACGAGGCATGGTGGCTCACACCTATAATCCCAACATTTTGGGAGGCCAAGGCAGGCAGATCACTTGAGCCCAGGAGTTCGAGACCAGCCTGAGCAACATGGTGAGACCCTATCTCTACAGAAAAATTTAAAAATTAACCAGATGTGGCATACATCCGTAGTCCCAGCTACTCAGGCTGAGGTGAGAGGATCACATGAACCTGGGAAGCAGAGGTTGCAATGAGCTGAGATGGTGCCACTGTTCTCCAGCCTGGACACTGTAACTGCTCTCCAGACTCTGTCTCAAAAAAAAAACAAAAACTTCCAGATTTTCTAGTCCACTGTTAACATCATCATTACATTTCATTTATGAAAAATAAAAACTTCATTTGTTACTGTGATGGAACAGTCACAGTAACATAATCACAGTTTCATAGGTTGAAATCAGTTATGATTAACATTTGTCCTTATAATATTGGAATAATTTAGAAAGGCCTAAGAATGAATGCTGGCCAGACGTGGTGGCTCATGCCTGTAATTCCAGCACTCCGAGAGGCCGAGGTGGGCGGATCACCTGAGGTCGGGAGTTTGAGACCAGCCTGGCCAACCTGGTGAAACTCCATTGCTACTAAAAATAAAAAAATTAGCTAGGCAGGTTGGCAGGTGGCTGTAATCCCAGCCACTTGGGAGGCTGAGGCACGAGAATTACTTGAGCCTGTGAAGTGGAGATTGCAGTGAGGTGAGATCGTGCTACTGCACTCCAGCCTGGGCGACAGAGTGAGATTGTCTCAAAAAAAAAAAAGTGTAAATGTTAATTTTTTACATTGGTGTGACTACATCAGAACCTGCAAAATCGTTTTATGCTGATCACATTTAGTCCCTCTGAAAAAACCAAGGCCATAATGCTGCCTAAGGCAAGGAAATAGAACCTGGAAATATTAACCCTTATTTGTATAGTAGCTTGCTAAATCCACATGCACTATTCCTTTCATTTCTCACATTGGTTGTGTTATATGATGATAAAGACCTGAGAAAGGAATTTCCTTCCAAAATACTAGTAACTCAGAGATTCATCTTTTGACTGAATCCTGCCTTTCTACTTTTTCTGCATATCAAAAAGGACACTTTTAGGTGGCCACGTTGTAAAATACGTAAAGTGGATAGCCAATTCTGTTTTGAATTCTTACAACGAGCCAGGATTACAAAAGTAATGCATGTCCTCGCCAGGTGTGGTGGCTCATGCCTGTAATCCCAGCACTTTGGGAGGCTGAGGCGGGCGAATCAGTTGAGCTCAGGAGTTTGAGACTAGCCTGGGCAACACAGTGAGAACCCCATCTCTACCAAAAATACAAAAAATTAGCTGAGTGTGGTGCATGCCTGTAATCCCAGCTACTTGGGAGGCTGAGGCAGGAGAATCACTCAAACCTGACAGGGAGGGGTTGCAGTGAGCCGAGATCACATCACTGCACTCCAGCCTGGGTGACAGAGACTGTGTCTCAAAAAAAATTTTTTTTAAGTAATGCATGGGCCAGGCACGGTAGCTTATGCCTGTAATCCCAACATTTTGGGAGGCCGAGGCAGGTGGATCACCTGAGGTCAGGAGTTCGAGACCAATATGGTGCAACCCTGTCTACTAAAAATAAAAAATTAGCCAGGTGTGGTGGCGCATGCCTGTAATCCCAGCTACTCAGGAGGCTGAGACAGGAGATTCCTTGAACCTGGGAGGTGGAGGTTGCAGTGAGCTGAGATCACACCATTGCACTCCAGCCTGGGCGAGTGAAACTCCTTCTCAAAAAAAAAAAAATAATAATAATAATAATGCATGTCTTTATAGATCCAAGTACATTTTGGGATGTAAATTTAACCCTATTTCTTTTGTTTTCAGACAGTCTCGCTCTGTCAGGCTAGAGTGCAGTGGCGTGATCTCAGCTCACTGCAACCTCTGCCTCCTGGGTTCAAGTGATCCTCCTTCATCAGCTTCCCAAGTAGCTGGGATTACAGGCACCTACCATCACGCCCGGCTAATTTTTGTATTTTTAGTAGAGATAGGGTTTCACCGTGTTGGCCAGGGTGGTCTCGAAGTCCAGGCCTCAAATGATCTGCCCGCCTTGGCCTCCCAAAGTGTTGGGATTACAGGCATGAGCCACCACCAGGCCTAACCTTACCAACTTAAAATAGAAATAGCTCAAGCTGCCTTAACTTATTTTACAGGAAAAAAATGGATTACTTTTCAGGCTAATTTTTTTGACATTTCTAGATATTATCTAATAGGCCTTTTGCACAGTGTAGGCCAATGGCAGTTAAACATTTGTTAGCTAGAGAATCATTTGGTGAAATAAAATTCTCAGCCGGGCACGGTGGCTCACACCTGTAAACTCAACACTCTGGGAGGCCGTTGAGGGCGGATCACCTGATGTCAGGAATTCGAGACCAGCCTGGCCAATATGGCAAAACCCCGTCTCTACTAAAAATATAAAAAATTAGCCGGGCCGGGCACGGTGGCTCAAGCCTGTAATCCCAGCACTTTGGGAGGCCGAGACGGGTGGATCACGAGGTCAGGAGATCGAGACCATCCTGGCGAACACGGTGAAACCCCGTCTCTACTGAAAAAAAAAAAAAAATACAAAAAACTAGCCGGGCGAGGCGGCGGGCGCCTGTAGTCCCAGCTACTCGGGAGGCTGAGGCAGGAGAATGGCGTGAACGCGGGAGGCGGAGCTTGCAGTGAGCCGGAATCGCGCCGCTGCATTCCAGCCTGGGCGACAGAGCCAGACTCCGTCTCAAAAAAAAAAAAAAAAAAAATTAGCCTGGGGTGATGGCACGCGCCTGTAGTCCCAGCTACTCAGGAGGCTGAGGCACAAGAATCGCTTGAACCGGGGAGGCAGAGGTTGCGGTGAGCCGAAAATGCACCACTACACTCCAGCCTGGGCCACACAGTGAGACTGTCTCAAAAAAATATAAATGAATAGTCCTCGCTGGTGTCCAGGCGAGGTCCGCCGACGCCCTGAGCACCCGGCCTGCCACGGCGGCCCGGCAGACTGCCTCTGTCACCAGGACCCTCTGTCCACCTCCCCTGTGCGGCCAGCGTCAGAGCCATGGCGACCGCGAAGAGGCCACCAGAGCACAGCCGACCCCTTCGTCATCCGCCACTCAGAGCAAGTCTACACCCGTGAAGCCAAACTATGCTCTAAAGCTCACCCTTGCTGGCCACACCAACGCAGTGTCCTTCCTGAAATTCAGCCCGAATGGAGAGTGGCTGGCAAGTTCATCTGCTGATAAACTCATTAAAATTTGGGGTGCATGTGACCGGAAATTTGAGAAAACCGTCTGGTCACAAGCTGGGAATATCCAATGTAGCCTGGTCCTCAGATTCTAACCTTTTTGTTTCAGCCTTAGATGACAAAACCTTGAAGATACAAAATACAGGAGGTGAGCTCGGGAAAGTATCTGAAAACCCTGAAGGGACACAGTAATTATGTCTTTTGCTGTAACTTCAATCCCCAGTCCAACCTTACTGTCTCAGGATCCTTTGATGAAAGTGTGAGAATATGGAATGTGAAAACAGGGAAGTGCCTCAAGATTTCACCAGCTCACTCAGATCCAGTCTTGGCCATTCATTTTAATTGTGATGGATTCTTGATAGTTTCAAGTAGCTATGATGGTCTCTGTCCATCTGGGACACTGCCTCGGGCCAGTGCCTGAAGACGCTCACTGATGATGACAACCCCCGGTGTCTTTTGTGACATTCTCCCAGAACAGCAGATACATCCTGGCTGCCACGCTGGACAACACTCTGAAGCTCTGGGACTACAGCAACGGGAATTGCCTGAAGATGTACACTGGCCACAAGAACGAGAAATACTGCATATTTGCCAATTTCTCTGTTACTGGCAGGAAGTGGATTGTGTCTGGCTCGGAGGATAACCTTCTTTACATTTGGAACCTTCAGACGAAAGAGATTGTACAGAAATTACAAGGCCACACAGGTGGTGTGATCTCAACAGCTTGTCACCCAACAGAAAACATCACCTCTGCCGCGCTAGAAAATGACAAAACAATTAAACTGTGGAATAGTGACTGTTGAATCCCTTTGCTCCCTTACGTGATAGACTGTCAGGAAGTTGACCTGGATTGGCAAGAAACATGGTGTCTCAGAGGTGGTCCCCCCGGGGTCTGTGCCTGCGGGTCAGGACGGGGCCTGATTTGAGCCTCCTTTTTGAAGACTATTTGGCTGAGTGCGGACCACTGGAAAGTGCTAAAAGTTGCTGGTGACATTTCTCGCCAATTCTTCTAACACTGGTGGCACATGCCTGTAACACTGTCTAGGGAAGTGCCTTCTAATACCGTCTAGGGAAAAGTTCCCAGTCTATTGTGTTCAAACAGAGTGAACAAAAATTTTTAATTTTTTGTTTCAAAAGGGTGAAGTTCAATTTTTAAAAATAATAAATATAATAAAAATCTCATGGAACATCAATGTAAAATAATTAAAATGGCATTTTATTAGCACAGTGTATGTTACAGTTTCAGATTTGTAACATTTACTCTGTAAATAAAAATAGTGAATAAGAAAAATGAAGCTATTTTGATACACATGCAAAATTGGGATTTATGGATAACAGTTGCTGTCTTCAGCCTCAAGAGTCTACTTACTTGTTTTGGTTGCACAGTATTGAGAACAGTTCCAATATAGCTAAATAATAGTAAATTTCAGTTAGTAGCATAGCTTAAAAAGAAAAAAAAATAGTAAATAATTTTTAAAAATTGTAAAACACCTCATCTTGGAATCTCTGGATGCTTTCCAGTTAAATTTAATACAGAAACTTGAAAGAGGAGTAGCAGGAGATGTTTTTGTTTTGTTTTGTTTTTGAAACAGAGTCTCACTCTGTCTCCCGCGCTGGAGTGCAATCACGCAATGTGGGCTCACTGCAACCTGCACCTCAAGTGGTTCTCGTGCCTTAGCCTCCTGAA